GGGTGGGAGGGGGAGCATAAAAAAAAAATCCAGTAAAAGTTTGAGAAAAATACAAAATCTCCCTTGCCATCAGCACAAAAAAATCCCATCCCAGGAGAAGATGAAGACTGTTGCCATTCCATTTAAAAAAAACTAAGAGTCATCACTCAGCAAAACCATGAAATTGATTCAGTCAACCCAGCTTGGAGCTGATAATCCAACTGGACCACAAGAAAAGGACCTTTGTCTTTTAAAACGTTCCCCCTTTGCTCAAAATTATTGTCTACATTTGATAATAAAATGTAATATCGTATTCAGAGGGAGATGTGTAAAATAAAATAATGTTTACTTGTCCTAACCCTCATCACCACAACCCACACGACCTCCAATCCCTACTGACGGTTTATTTATACGACTTACGTTAGAAGGAAACAAAAAAATAAACAACAAATTTAAGTATTTTAACTCTATTCTTCATAACAAAAAATAATCACAATGGGAAGTCATAAAAAAAACACTTTGTGTTGGAACGTGCACCTCTGAGGGTCTAGATTATTTCATTCTTTTTTTCTAGGGGGTGGGGGGGGGGGTGGTTGGGAGTGGTGGAGGGCAGGCAGGCATGCCCCAGCCTCCTAGATTCTAAGAGGGTCTTAGTGACCTTTTACCCTTACAGTCTGTAGCACTTCCCATGACACATGGGTAGCCACCTTATATCAGACACTGAACATATTGAAACAGAACTCTCTGTGAATTATCAAAAAAAAAAAGAAAAAAGACACGAGTGCAAGCATTGCCACATAAAAAGGTATTTTATAGTGGAGGTGTATGTAACCTGTTATTTTCAACATTTTTAGTTCTCTGAAATCTAGGGAATGATGTGTATGCAACTGCAATCTAAAAAGAATGTTCATGGGATTTCACCTGAAAATAAAAATCATTCACAGACACATTTGGGTGGGGAAAAGAAAGTTCTGCAGACTAAAAATCTCCTGAGCTTGCATAACTGGCCAGATTGTTTTTGTTCTTGAGAGTTTTGGCAGCAAAGCGACAAGAAGTGAGCATCTCCTCCTTATTCTCCACATGGCTTTACAGCTTAACCTCTACCAAAACTTTGTGCACACTTTCAATCCTGCCAGCAGCTACGCAGGCTAGAAATGTCCCCCCCCCCCCCCCACCCCCACTCCATCGCATAAAATTCAAATGCTCCATCCCTTATAAAGTTTAGTAGCTGTTGATGTTGTTGTCCTTTGTCAAGGGTTCAGCTAACCCTTCCCACTGCACATGAAGGAAAAAAATCAACATGATATGGCTGACTGAAAGACTAACCTTTACCCCCTGCCCCCAACATATTGCATCTATAACTGTAATGATCTACTTTCATATAATTCTTCAGCCCGCAGTTCACATATATGATTTTTATATATTCATGTACAGTTAACTTCAATAAAAATACTCTCATACAGTCACTATTCCTTTGTTGTAAAATATATACTTATACATGTACATGAAGTATAAAGCTGAGCGATTACCTTTTTTTCAATTTGGTTGCGTTTTTTTCTGCAAACCTTTATGGCTCAAACACAAACTGCACAAGGCCAATTTTTAAACAGTCAAACATTCCACTCTATCAATCTCTAAGGGTATTTGTAAATAAACAATAGAAAAAACACTGAGAACATTAGGCAAGGTGTCTTTAAGCACTTGCACAGAAAAATTCAGCAGCAACTATTATGCTTAATTTACACTATCTACTACAATGTGCAGCCTGTGTACATGTATTACAGCTGTATGTACTCATGATTACACCATATATGCTGTAGTGGTACATAATATCTACGTAATGACCAGCTTCCTCTCTATCAGCAATATTTTATAATATTTTGTTTACCTGTTTTAACTTTTGGTCTATTGTATTTCAATTCAACACATATATAATACTCTTACTCTTACATTAAATGATAGAAAATCTAAAAACAAATTCTCATTTCAAAACAATATTCTTTGACTGTTAAATGCTCAAATCACTGGTACCTTAAATCCTCCAAAAACTTTGCTACAGATATCTTGGTAGTGTTTCACAAAAGGACACATTCTCTACTGTGAAGAGGACAAAAAAAATGATAATACCTTCGAGGAAAAAATTAATAATATTAGTTTGTGGTTCCTTGAAATTTTTTGCCTTTCAATGTCAAGATCACAAGAAACTTTTAAACTTTTTCTTTGCATCTGTATTTTCTAACTGTGCATTTTTAGGCTTACAGCTGTACCATGAAAACAATGGCATATAAACCAACCCTCAGAAAGAGGAGAAATCATTAATTTTGAACATGTATTAAGTGCCCCACAGCTTAATTTTCCTCCATCTTGCATTGTTCTCATGACCAGATAAGCAAAAATAGCTTGCACTTTTACTTTTTATGTTATAAAAACAAAAACATTGGTGGGATGCAGATGCTGAATGGCATAATAATTAAAAAGGTAATTGAGGTCCTGCAATTTGGAATGCTGATCTGTTGTACATGTATGCCAGGAAGGTTCTTAAACCTGCACAAAATTGCCGTGACCACTACGTACTCTGCTTTATAAAATAATTGATATTACAAGAAATTAGATGCTGATCACTGTTAGGGCTTAAAGGGTTAAAACATCACTCAGGTTAATCAAATATAAATTAAAGGTCCCAAGAATAACAAAACATGATCACTAACAAAAAAAGGTCTTTAATGTTATAAATAAATTCTCCTCATCAGTACCAAGATAGGAAATGTAAAGAAAACAGTGTGCATGGAGAATATTTACTGTATATTCATCTTGATAAGTGAAATTAAATGAAATAGAATATTTAATTAAAACAAATGTACATTGTCTGCATGTTCCAACACCCATGACCAAAAACAGATGCACTCAATTTCAAGGAAACAGGCAAAAGTATAGTACATGTATTACTCCTTTAATTTATTTATAAGCATATCTGCCCTTACCAAAACCACATATATGTTACATATAGCGCCTACATATATATGTGACATATATGTGACATATATGTGAAATATATAACACATATATGTGACATATATGTGTCATATATAACACATGTATGTTACATATATGTCAAATGTAGGTATTTGGAACCCATTTGCAGTTACTTACATATATGTCACACATATGTAGATATATGTGACATATATGTAGTTAATAGCATTGCATATACAGGGCAAATATATGTCACATATATGTGGCATATATTTGAAAAAAATTGATTAGGTACATACCAGCTGCGCCTGCTGTACTTTGAAGTTAATTGTTATAGATATACATGTAGTACTTATATATATCTGCTGATATCTTACATCTTCAATAAATATATTACACCTTTTTTTTTCATTGAAATAATTGTATTCTGGTCATAAATTCTTCATATACACTAGCTGTCTTAAAACTGAAAACTTATATAATTCTTACAGACTAGTTACCATTATCACATGACAGACCATTTCAGACAGTCCAACTTCAGTGTGATGCACATCAATCAAAGGAAGCTGTTGACACTGTTTTTCAAATTCAGATTGCATTTCGAACAATTTGGCCAAAAAGAAGCAGTAAAAATTAACAAATAAGCAGATTGAAGATTTCAATCAACATGATAAAAAATTGTCATTGTATTACAACTTATTTAGACTGCCATTCACATGTTTGTTACCAATTCCAACAACAATCTGATTATCGATAATAAGAGGATTCAACACACACGCATGTACATGCATACATATATATAAGAAAATAATATGTGTTCTTGTATCTTCTAAAAAAATCATTTTGTCTTTGATATCCCCCTCCTGCTTGCAGTGCACTTGTCTTGGATTGTTTTTCTCACTTTGGAGATGACATTCCCATCCTTGAACTGGGATTGAACAAATGCTGTAGATTGAGAAGGATTTAAAGCAATCACACAACTGCCAAAGCTTAATATTAAATGCTATATATAGTAGATGTGTTACACATGTTTATAACCTGCATGAACACATGATTAGGACCCCCCTTGTTTTCACCAGAACCGAAATTAAACTAACCAAAGAAAGCATGTCTTGTATAATTAGGATTATATGTAATATTCTCATTGATTCAGTAAAATCAAAACAATAACTGATGCCATGAAAATTAAAGCTCATAATGTCATAGCGGTACAGGAGTTTACATCAAAGAGTAGCATATCATTTCCATAATGAACTGAGAGGGGTTGTTTTACTTTAGGGAAGGAGGGAGGAGAATCAATTCATTTCTTCTTCAACAAATACAGTTTGCTACTATATAAAAGAGCTTAATTAATAGATGATTTATACACTGAATGCAAATATGGCCGTCAGGCCTTTTTTTTTTTTGTTTAGCCAAGTTTTCATAGAAATTATAATGATTTCACGTGAACAAGTGCCTCTAAGTATATCATCTTAAAAATTTGAGCTGCAAAGTTATGGCTGACTGAAATTATAAACATTTGTGTGGGAAAAGATAGTCTATATCCTCACTAGCCTCGCTTTCATGTTTTTTCCCAAAATGTGAGTGCCAATACCTTCTTCTTAAATAAGAACATGGCCCTGAAAATACGCACAATGACTTATTTTGACCTGATCTTTATCATTATCCAATTGCTTTTCTTTTCTTGAAAACCTGCCCAGACCAAAAATTCTTGGATGGCCATATTTGCATTTGGTGTATGGTATACATGCAGTCAACTCTCTCAAAGCAGACACCAAATGTAAGGCAAACATATCTCTAAGACAGACGTGGTTGGCTAGTAAGGTGGACAGCTAGAGCTAGTCCAATGGGTGTCCACCTTAAAGAGATTTCATTGTGCAATAATAAAAGCTGGTTTTTTCCCATGAATCAAGCATAATACATGCACGAAAAACAAGTAGGACAAGTAATGCAATCAAAGAGCATACATGTACCTGTGATGGCTTTAATGATTTGAGGGCACAGCTGTCTGTAGCCCAAGTTGCCCCCTCCTGCCAAGTTTGAAATCATTAAAGTTTTTTGTCAAACATGACGTCAATCAAGTATGCTGTCATAGTGCCCACTGATTTTCCTTCTGCCAATGCATTCAGTCGTTGGGTCGGGTACCAGAAAACCCCACTCCCTATGGCCATTTCTTCCATCTAAGTAAAAGAGATACAATAAATGAGTGAAATGTACAGTGAAATGTTCACATCTGTACCTTGAATTCTTCTTCAAGTTTAATAACAAAACCCCAACTTTGGATGAAGAACAGAAAAATTTAACGCACCTATTTAAAGTCTCCCTCACAGAGAATTACATTTCTTCTGGATGACCTATCAAGGGCTGGATTCATGAAGCCCACCTAAACTAAGACATATCCTAAGCATTGTTTATTAACAATAGTCTATTGTGGTTACGACAATAGACTATTGTTAATAAACAATGTTTAGGATTTGTCTTAGTTTAGGAGGGCTTCATGAATCCGGCCCCAGAATGTTAAACTTATTACCAATAACATTGTGACTTCATATCAAGCAGATGCACCCTTAGTATTTAGGGAACACTAGGTTTGTAGGTTGTACATGTAGGGTGCTTGAAATAAACAACAAATACATCTGGTAAAACAGCTGCCCTCAAATATACAATTGAACATTAAACTAGGAGTGCTTGTTATTTAAAGCATGCATGTACAGGCATGTGTACCTTGTGTTTTGATGCAATTACTGGAGAAATGACTCCAGCAAGTGGTTTGTTAGTGTCTTCACTATACTGATCTGAAAGAAATTAAACAAAACAGTCCTATAAGAATAGGTACCTGTACCAATGAATCAAAAACATACATACATTACACAACCCTCCATCATTTTCAATGATTGACAATCAAGTAAAAAAAAAATAGTGAATAATAATTAAATTTTAAGTGTGCCAATTAACTGTTATTTTTGTAGGATAAAAATGTTTCTAGTGGCAGTTATATACAAAACATGATAACAATAAACAGTAATTCTAACCATTCAATTTCTGCTCTAATTCCAAAACTTTCTGCTTCAGTGAGGCATTTTCTTGTCTCAAGAGACGGCATTCCTCTCGTCCACACTTGGAGAGGGCAGGCTGAGATCCTAAAAAGAAACATATATTTGTAATTATAAGTACAAGTTTTATGTTTATATTCAGTGAAGGTAAACTTGATCTACACCTGCATACATGTGTGTTCATTCATTATATTCATAACAGCTACAGTCAAACCTGTATAAAGAAAACACTCTCAGGACCCTCACCAAGTCTATATGCCTATATGATGTTTGTTCTTTTGACACAACTCCAAGACCACATTGCATATCAGGTAGAGCAAGTGCAAAATGAATAAAACCATGACATATAACACAGACAATTAATGGACAGATTGCTAGATACCATGCATACTCACTTTGCTCTTGATCAGTTTCATAAAAAAGCTTCCTTGATCCCTTCTCTTTCCTTGATATTGGTACAACTTTAGAAGCACCTTGCAAAACAAAATACATGTATGCATGCATCTGAATAAAATTTACTTCATCATTGGGATCATTAACTTGAGTGTAGAGTACCTTAAGTGTAACTTGAATAAAATTTACTTCATCATGGTAATCTCTAGCTGTTGTTCTACTTCCTTTTAAATTATTGTTACAACTCCAAGACCACTTTGAATATCAAGTAGAATATATGCATGCAAAACAAATAAAATCATGAAACAACAATGGACAGACACTATAGATACTATACTCACTTTGTCCTTGAGCTCCATCTGTCAGATTCCTTGATCCCTTCTCCTTCCTTGATATTGGTACAACTTTAGAAGCACCTTGCAAAACAAAATACATGTATGCATGCATCTGAATAAAATTTACTTCATCATTGGGATCATTAACTTGAGTGTAGAGTCACCTTAAGTGTAACTTGAATAAAATTTACTTCATCATGGTAATCTCTAGCTGTTAATTGTTCTACTTCCTTTTAAATTATTGTTGCAACTCCAAGACCACTTTGAATATCAAGTAGAATATGCATGTAAAACAAATAACATCATGAAACAACAATGGACAGACACTATAGATACTATACTCACTTTGTCCTTGAGCTCCATCTGTCAGATTCCTTGATCCCTTCTCTTTCCTTGATATTGGTGCAACTTTAGCATCACCTTTCAAAATATACATGTATGCATGCATCTGAATAAAATTTCATCATTGGGATAAAAGTGTAGAGTACCTTAAGTGTAACTTGGAAGGACCTTACAAGTGATAACTGCATGTACTAATCATTTTCACTTTTCTTGGTTGCTTTGAGTTATAATTAAGAAATAGCTAATTAGATCACATTAAAGCACATTATATGTTAAAAGAACACAAGAAGGGCTTGTCAATGATGAGTGCTTTGTTTGGTGAAGGTTGAGATTTTGGTGGCATATTTTCCTTAAACCATTCTGGTTCCTAATTCTCAGTAATATGGATAGTTTTGGATTTGCATGCAAATTTGGAACAGAAATCAGAAAAAAAACATAAGGTTCATCTGTTCAGGTCAAGTAGTAGGAATGCTAACTACAGGTTTTTCAACAGCCCAAAACTTAGACATACCCTTCTGAAAAAGTTCCTTTAGCGGTGAGCGGTATGGCACAGTAACTTCCATTCCTACAAAATCATCATCAGCATGCATCTCTTCATCACCTGGGAAGTACTCATCCTCACTGCTGTATAACGGCTCACTCTCAGAATCAACCATTATTAAGCTTCCAGAATATCCAAGGGATGAGCTATGTGACTGCTGGCTTGGAGATACTTTGGCCTGTTGAAGACTACATGCACGCTCGCTTTCAGAGTCACTCAGCTCTTCGGAACATTCATGGGAAGAGCTACTTATTTGGTTTTTAATTTGGAATGTCTTTGCCTGCTGAAGCCTCTGCTTTAGCAGGGCTTCTTTCTTGACTTTTGCCTTTGCGGCCTTTTGGCCTTGGCCTCCATAGATAATTTCTTCCTTTTTTTTTTTCTTCACATTCGTCTTCACTTTTGTTTACTTCTGGATCGGATTCCGTCTTTCCTTTTTCTGTGCTAGACCAGACATTTGTTCTCTTCCTTTTCCTTTCCCCCTTTGTCTACTTTGGCTTTTGTCTTAGTTGGCAATTTTTTTCTTTTGAGTTCTTCTCTGCTGGACATTTGTCAGATACTCTAGATCTGTAGGATAGCAGACATTTAAAAAGAAAACACTGAAGTCAGACAAATGGAAGAATATCATAGTTATGTCAGATGAATTCTTGGGAGGCTTGAAAAGATTGAGTGTCTTGTGTGGCAAACAGAAACAAGGAAATGCCAATCATTGCAGGAATTGATTATGCAAATGTCTAGAAATAATATGTCAAATTACATTAATTCAGTGCAACTAAAAATTGACATTCCACTACATGGAAGCTCACTAAAAGAAATACTTGACCTGTTTTGACTGTCATGCAACAACTTTTTGCAAATTATACCCATCAGTGTTATGTATACTTTTCCAGCTTATAACACCAAATTAAAGGCAAATGAAATCAATGCCATGTTGTTATAATAATTATAATACAAATACAATGTACAGTGAACTATAAAATCCTACTTAGGAAGGCCCTTTGCTCCTTCCTCTCACCCTGGGATTTATCAGTTTGTGTTAATGCATGGCCAGGCCTTTATTTTGTGATGATTTAATTAGTCTTACCTCCAATGTCCACAACAAATGCAGGATACCAGTCCTTGTGATGGGCATCCGTCCACAGTGCATCACAAGATGCTCCTTTTTCAATTTTTTTCACAGTTTCTAATCTCATCAGCACTGACTATATTTTTGATGTTGTCATCCTTGAAGACAACAAGGTAGTGGTCTACGATAAAGAACAAAATATAATAAGACACATCAACGATATTATAATCAATTAATGGCACCAGACAAACCAGTTTGTATGCTGCACACTAAATAATAAGAATGCAATCTTGAAGTTAACATATTGAAATTTCGCAAAGAATCTTGAAGTTGCTCTCAGCTTATATAGTGCATGGTCAAGAGCTTTGATCCTGAGCCAAATATCAAAGTTGATCGAAAAGAAACTGATCGTTGTTGTTTAAGAATAAACCAGTTACTAATCTATCCAGATCTATCAAAGATGGAATGTATAGCTAAAGAATGAATCATGCATTATTTATTACCTTGACAATGATAAATGAAAAATCGAGGGGTGATCCCAATTTCAAAAGTGCCATCTATACAATTAATCTATCAATCAATAACCAGGCTATGACCAGACTGTAAGCAGTCCCTCTTTTCTTTGCCGTCGATTATTAATTGAGCAAGTCGAAGATATCAACATCAGATAGAAACGAGAAAGAAGCGATTTTGACAGATTTGGCGAACAGTTACATTTGTAAATGAACGCGGCAATATTGAAATGAGTGGAACGAAAGCCTAATTAATGATGATCTTCGGAACGAATTAATCCTTGCACAATATCCGAAACAACTGATATCCTGGAAAATTCTTAGAAATTATTGAGCATGAATGAAAAGTTCGAAATATATATGAGATATGAGGTGAACATATAACGATAAAATTATGCACGTCTTATTCAACCTCTGAAGAGGTTGAAAGGACTGCGAGCTGTACGTTGCACGTGTTCTGTCCCCAGCATATATGCGACATTCTTCCCAGCATTTAAAACTACAAAATTGATTGCCAAGCTCCATCGTATAATGCAAAAGCCTAAATTTATTTTATTCAAGCAAAAGATTGCAGTGTATATTTACTAGAAAGAGTTTATATAGGTCGTAGAAGCGTGTTTTTTAAACCGCGTTCATTGAACCGCGAAACGCACGCCTGTAATTTAATTAATTCCTATATAAGCATGGGCCGAGCTCTCAAAATCATTGTTTTAGAACAATAATCTTAATTTAGGCACTTACAAGAATTACATTTGGAAGTAAAATGACTTACCAAGATGATCAGTGAAGCGAGAAGGTGCTTTTGTTTTCCTCATAATTGCAGAAATCTACAAGCTGACAAAACCGAACTCGATCCTCTTCAAAACGAACAACGAAAGGAACAACGAAATGAACAAATGAGCGCGAAAACGGCCTCTGTGAAGTTTTCGCGCTCATTTTGTGTAGTCACGTGTTAGGTGTAAGCCAATCAGCAGGGGATTTTGATATGTATTAGATGCCAGTCCACTCTACCTGCAGTCTTTCTGGAGTTGACCATGGAGTCGACGAAACGAAAGAAGAGAGGTCGATACAACTCGCATCGAAGAAACCCTGCTATACCTAAGCCGAAAGCCACTGTTTCCCGACATAACAGGCGAAAAGCAAACTTCTCATCGGATGAAGATGAACAAAGAAAAAAACCGTGTTTCAAGCGAACTGTTGATGTTGTTTTCGAAAATAGTCAAGCATCATCGGACGAATCGGATTTAAACATTACAAATATGTACTTGGCTTCATGTTCTAGTTATCAAGATCTAGACCACGAATTGTCAGACGTTTTGTCGGAATCAACGCATGATGACGACAGTGTAGAAAAAACTGGATGCGATTTGGGTGATATCTCAGAAGACGATCGAAGCTCCACATCTTCAGATGACGACCAATTCTGTGCACGTGGAGACAGTTATAATCACATCAGGAGTAAATCGACTGATGAAGAAGACCCTGTATATGTATACCCTGGGTCGCCTCTTTTGTTGTCGGAAAGCATTCTTTTGATTCTTACTTTGGCTGTAGCTCACAATCTGAATGGAAGTTGTCTTTCAGACGTAATTTCTTTGATCAATTTGCACTGCATTCCTGGTCCACTCAACAAGTGTGTCAACTCACTCAGTGAGCTCAAGAGGTACTTTGCTGACTTCGAGCTTCCCATAACAAAACACTTTTACTGCAGTTTTTGCTCTGAGTATCTTGGTGTTTTAAGTGATACTCCTGATGTGTGCTCCATTTGCAACAATGATGTGAGAGATCCAAAGAAGAAGTCATATTTTGTCATCCTTTCTGTCGAAAGTCAGCTAAACGAGCTTATGCAAAGTAAGTAAGAAAATATAATTTTATATGTTGCAGTTTAAAATGATCTTATGTTAAAATGATTTCAAACTAGTTTGATTTGTACTTTTCTTTGTCTTAGGATTATGGTAATCAATCTGGAACAAAAGAAAATCAAAACTAACCAAGTTTGAAATCATTTTGACCTAAGATTCATTTCAAACTACAACATATACAACAGTGATTGATGTTAAAATGGAATAAATATAAATACTGGCTTAACTACAGCATCATATATTTAGCCACTTTCGATGCTTCCTGGGATAATAGCTAGATATATATATCGCTTAAAATATGCAGTCACCCCTATTGAAGTATAATATTTCCAAATATTTGGTCCTATAATGGGCCAGTAAGATCCATGTGACAAAAAGTTTCAAAGTCTCTGAAAGTTAAGCCTAAAATGATGATTTAGTTTTTAAATGTATATAAAAAAAAATATTATTGGAGTCGGTTTTCACATGATAGCAAAATTATCAAGGTCTCGATTTGTGTTACCCACCTTGGCTGTGGAAATTCTTACTATCTTACTCACCATATGTATTTGAATAAGTGCCTTGTGCGCTTCTTTAATGTTAGGTCCTTTAAGGTCGATGTTTATTCAAGGTGGGCACTTATTCTGGTAAATGCAGAAACCTCATCCTGTGGCAATTGAGCTACATCAAATTAATAGCTATAATCTGCTGGTGGTGTCGACTGACACTCAAATCACAGTATTTTGTGATAAAAGAGTGCAGTGATGTTTTATCATTCAACCAGTAAGCTTGATTTTCTTTGTTGTATTTTTTTGTCATCTGATATTAGGAAGAGAATTTCAGGAAGATATAAAGTACCGCTTTCTGTAGAGAAGACATCCCCTCACAACATTGAGGATGTATATGATGGCCATCTCTACAAGAAGCTGTTTGAAAATAATGGCCCACTTTCTCAGCCAGAGAACTTATCCTTAAAGTTCAATACAGATGGTGTTTCTATCTTCAAATCATCAGGTTCAAGTATTTGGCCAGTGTACTTTGAGATCAATGAGTTGCCACCAAGTAAAAGGTAAAAATTAGAGTAAATTATTATTGGTGAATTGTAAGTGCATCTTATTAAACTTTTGGAATTATCATTGTATTCTCTATTCACAATACTATTTCCGAAAACATTGCAAAAAATTAGTTGCCTTGTTGATGACTGGAATGACACATACTGTACATATACTTAGTTGAACTGAATTACATTGGTTATTTAACAACATTTTTCACTACTATTTTCTGTGATTGTGCCAAACCATTATTTTCATCAAAGGATATTATTATAGAGTTCCGTATCAGACCCTTTTTATTTAAAACTAACTTTCATTACTCTTACCCTATTGTTCCTTTTTCTAGGCTGGAAAAAAAAGCTCTGACTCTGATAAATGTAAATTCGTAAGTGCATTTTAATGTTTTCATGTTTTAATTAATAGGAAACGATTGGAGAACATGCTTTTGGGTGGCCTCTGGTTCAGTGACAAAAACCTGTGATGTCTACCTTTTTGAAACCTTTCAGAACTTCATTAGAAGACCTTGAAACAAAAGGTACCTGGATACATGGTGTCTCTGAGACAGCTTTATGTTCATGTCTATGTTGTGGCTAACTAAATTTTTTATGGTTTAAAGTTTGTTTGGCAACGTTGATTTTTATTTTCCC